GCATTTGTATCGAGTGGTGTAAATTTGAGGATAGGCCCTTGTTAGTTACTGTCGTTGCTTATGGGTTTGTGTAAAAGATCCTCCTGAAGTTGTACAGTCTTCAAGATTGTAGCACACATCTTTTTCTCCATTAAAAGTACTTAATAATGTCTAAATACATGTATTGATCAGATCATCCTTAACCAAATTATACGGTGCAAAAGTTGGGCTTTAATTTTGGTTGTTGGTATGGGCTTGGAAATCAACACTTTCAAATACTTTAATTTTTGTTATCGTGGTGAGAAGATACATATTTCAATTACTTTAATTTTCGGATTTATATTATGTAAAAGAAAAAAAGAAAAAAAGCATGTGTAGCTTTAACATATGCTATTTTTTTGTTTTGTTTATTCAAACGTTTGAGTGAAAAAAACAAATCTCCAGCCTCTGTGATATTGGTGATGTGAAAGTTTGGAAGAAAGAATGGTCAAAGTTGTGGTGGTGAATTGGTTCTCTCTCCAACCATTTTTAAGGCAACACAGGGCTCATCTACTGGTACCTGTTTTTTTCCATCCCCACAAAATAAAACATAGTACTATTAGTTTTCCAAATTACTTTTGCACCATTCTCCAATAAAATCATTCCATAAAATATGTTGCGTGTCAAGGTAAAAAAGTTATATTTTTAGAGAAATAAAATTTAGTGTGAAAGGGAATATGACAGAGATTTGGACAGCATATAAAAGTAGTAGTATTAAAGAGACAGTTTTGTTTTTGAGAAAAAATGAAGAAAGAAGAAAACAGACACAAAAGAGACTTGTGCTTTCGTTTAGGTTTAATAGATGCATCCCGTATCTCTCACGTTATTCCACAATATTCATTAAATATGGATGAAAAATTTGCTCTATTCAATACTTTGTCTTCTTCTTTTAAATTCCAATTGCAAAGTATATGTACTGTTTGTGATGGCTGATCAAATTCGTGTTGTAAGATATATTTATGACATATAGCCTTACTATTATTAATCTAATAAAAATTGTGATATATTATAAAATACACCATTTTTTTATAGACATATCACCATGTTTTTTAGGTCAATTTTTGTTTTGCATTTGGTTATCTACCAAATTAATCTTATAAATAAAGATGAAAGAAGAAAAATGAAGATTGAAAAATGGGAGTGTACTTACAAAATGACCAGCTCCAAGAATCCAATAAAAATGGAGATTTTTGTATGATTTGGTGAAGCCTCTTGTTGCTCTATCACTTTCACAATATAATGCCTCTCTTTTTATATTCTTAAACTCTTCTAGCTCCTCCCACCTTACA